ATCCGGGTCCTCATTTTACCCACCTCGGAAGGATGGAAGGCTGAGTCAACCTTGAGCCGGTGAGATTTGAACCGCCGAACTGCAGAACAGCAGTCAGCTGAAGTAGCCTGCAGTGCTACATTTAACCACTGCGCCACCTCGGCTCAAAATATGAAAATCTCAAAGAAAAATGTGAAAACCACTTTTGGTTCAACTTCTGCAGCAGCCAAGTCATTACCCAGCAGAAGCATAATGTTGTCACAACACAATCAGACCAAGATTTAGTCCCCCTCCCACAGCTAGTGGCAGCAAATTGAAATGCGCAAAGCCAAAAGGGTGTGGCCAAACTGACCCAGCATAGACAATTTGGAAACAGTCGTCCGCCTGCAGTGCGCAAGAGTGAAGCAGTCTCATCCAAAGGACCACTTAGTACTTCTGCTGCGTGACCCGACAAATGTGCGCACGACAAAAACGCGCCGACAAAACTGCGGCGCTAAAACTGCGATGTCATCAACGCGCCGACAACAGCGCGCCGACAGAAGCGCGATTTAAATTAAGGTAAGGGTTAGGGTCAGGGTCAGGGTTAGGTTTAGGGTTAGGTTTCGGGTTAGGTTTAGAACGTGCGTCTGTCGGGGCGCTGTTGTCGGCGCGCTTCAGCGCTCATTCGTCACCGCGGTTTATTTGGGTGCGCTTTTGTCGGGCGCCCTTTTGTCGGTGAACCCTTCTGCTGCACTGATTTTAATAGTTCTAAATTTAGGATTGATGTTTACCTTTTTTAACTTAAAAGTAACTTGTTTACTTCCTACAGTGGTATCCTGTACACTAAGTGCACCAACTCTCTCTTCAAGTTGCAAGCGATCTCCAAGTGACTTTCTGCAAAAGAGAGAGAGAGAAAGAGAGAGAGAGGATAAACTCAGCATCTACTTTCGTGATCAGCATATCATCTTCCCCAGAAATTGCTCTGAGAGCAAATGAAACAGAAATGAAGAAGAGATGGAGGGAGGAACCCAATTAGTTAAAAGTATCTTGAGAAAACATTAAATGATCTTTAGATTAGGATAGGCCAGTGGGATGACTGGCTACTAGACTATGGATCCTATCACATATAAGACCATATCCAGATTGAAGGGTCCAGGAGACTGGCACAATGATGAGTTGAGTTTGAGTTGAGTTTATTGGTCTTGTATGCCGCGCACTCCCGAAGGACTCCGGGTGGTTTACAATAAACAAGGGAAGGGGATAAATA